TTGGAATTCTATACAGTGCATTAAGTTAACTCTTCTCAGCCACCTTGGTGTTTCTTTTGTGTGAAAGGAACTTCTCCCAGAGTAACTAGCTCATGGACCTAAGGTAAGGTTTCTCAAGCCCAACATGACTGACATTTTAGGCCTGGATAATTTTCATCACGAGAATTATTTAATGTATTGTAGCATGACTAGCGATATCTTAGACCTTTCCCCACTGGATGCCAGGAGCTCTCTCTCTCCTCCTGCAATTGTGACAACCAGAAATGTCTCCCAGATGGGTATGTGGCTCATGCCTATATTCCTAGCACTTTGGGAGGTCAAGTTCAGGAGACTGAGACTAGCCTGGGCAAAATAGTGATATTCTGTCTCTGTAAAAAACAAAAGTATCCCTAGATATTGTCAAGTATCTGCTGGGGGGCAAAATTACCTGTGGCGTAGGACCACTGGGCAAGGGTTAAGTATAAAAAGGGCCCTAGTGGACATATAATGCTATGTGAACCTTGACAGAGAAATAACTCTTAAGAGAGCAAAACTATTTCCAGGAGAGCAGCATGTTAAACAATTCATTTGCATTTTCTGTAACAGCATTTGCAGGGCATGATCTGTATGTTACCAAATGCAAAAATCATAGAACCACGTACCACATGTTAAGAATTACATTATTTGGTTATTATGACTAAAAAGTCCTACCAATTTTCTCTTTTCTATTCCACAATAATATTACACCTCTGCTTGCAGCATTTATTTCAATTTCAACTTTTTTTTTTAAATATGATGCCTAAGTAACAGTGTTTTCAAAGCTATGATGGGCACATGGCACGGACTGTGAGAAAGCTAAGAGATTGGGAGATACACTCTGTAGTTCTGTCTTTGGAGTCAGGCCTTGTATGTTTTCTTTAGATATGGGACCTCTAAGCCTCAGATGCAATAGTAGCCTCTCTTGTCAAGGTTTAAGCAAGGCTTTCCTGTAAATTCATCTGGTTTATGTTTGGACTTGAGAAGAGCTTATTTCAGAACGCCAGAATTAGGGGATCAAGACAGTGCACTGAGTCCATTCTTTCCAGTACATTTTTCGTTCTAAATGACTCTGGCTTGAGTGGCAGTATTGGAACTTGCTGGTAAGTATGAAATATAATTCTTGTTTGATGGATAGGATTAGAGCAGATAGAACAAAAATGCATTAAATTTTCCCCCAAGGGTTCCTTTTGCTAGTATCAGTTTACTTGGCTGGTTTCTTTATGTTTTTGCTCTCTGTTTTCCCCATAGAATTTCCTGTAAACTCTGCCTGTCAATCCAATCTTTATTGCTTTCATTTTTAATACTCCAATTGGTACATTTTACAAAACAGACCAGCCAGGCTAAAATGTGATGTGCAATTTGCTCTGTCTGTGTAAGAGGATGAACCTGAGTTTCTACCAGAAGTTAAACTACTGCATAGAATATGAGAAGGAGTGTTTGTTGAGTGGTCATGGGTGCCTCTCATGTCATTATGAGCCCCGCATAAGTCTTTCTGTTCAGTGCTTTGTAAATAAGATCTGTCAAAGATAAAACCTAAAGGGATTTTTTAAATGCAAACCATGACGTTCATAGGAAAGGACTGTTTTCCCTAGTTACGAATGCCCTTGCTTGCTTAGAAAGCCTATGTTAGTTAAGTTTCCACTGAGCATTTACAAATATGTGATATTGGGACATCTTGGGGATCCTGTCTCTTGATTTCCTACTTGTTTCAGGGACCCATCTTTCATGCTCCTGTCATCTTGGTATCGACCATCCTGTACTGTAATTGCTACTTGTATACCCTAAGCTGTTCTACATTTATTCATTCATTGAACATATAGTTATTTGTTTGTATGTCCTATGCTCTGTTCTAGGCAACAAGGGTGATACCCCTTAATCTTCTTGTAGCTGACATTCCAGAATGAGAAATAGTCAATCAATTCATTGTATTTGTCAGCTCAAAGTGCCAGGCTTGGTGACTCACACCTATAACCCCAGCATTTTGGGAGGCCTAGGCAAGAGGATTGCTTGAGCTCAGGAGTTTGAGACCAGCCTGAGAAAGACTGAGACCCTGTCTTTACTAAAAATAGAAGAAAAAAAACAATAGTAGGCACTTGTAGTCCCAGCTACTTGGGAGGCCGGGGCAGGAGGATCACTTGAGCCCAAGAATTTGAGGTTACTGTGGCTGATGCCATGGCACTCCAGCCCAGGCAACAATGTGAAACTGTCTCCAAAAAAAAAAGATCACAGGCAAATTTTGAAGAGGGCTGTCTTCCTGGCTTTCAGATGGCTCAGCCTTGTTCTGTGTTCACATAGCCTTTCCTCAGTGTATTTGCATGAGAAAGAACCAGAGTGAGTCTTCTGACTCTGTTTCTTTTTTTCTTTCTTTCTTTCTTTCATCAAACCCTGACCTTATGATCTCATTTGACCTCAAATACTTCCCTGGAGGCCCCATCTTTTAAGTACAACCACCCTTGGGGTTAAAGCCTGAAGATATCTAAGGGGAGGGCACAATTACTCATAAAGAGTTTTTTTAACTTACTACTTCAGATGGTGATAAGAGAAAAGAATAAATAAATTAGGATAAAGAGATTAAGCGCAAGTGGGGCAGAGATGGCAGTTCAGTTGGTAATTGAGACACAGTCCTTTATGAAGAAGGGACAATTGAGCAAGAGCAAAAATGAAAAAGAAGCAGCCTTATGAAGATGTAGAGAAATGAGCACTGTAGGTAGAGAGAATTGCGAGTTCAGTGGGCAGATGGGAGTGAGAATGATGAGATCATGGAACAGAGAAGAGTAAGTGTGGTTTCATCCTAGTTTACTCTGGGGAGAGGAGAAGGAAAAACACATCAGAGAGGTTAAAAAAAAAAACACTGGTCAGTGCCAGGAGTTCAAATTTTGTACTGATTGAAATGGAAAGCTTCTGGAGGGTTTTAGGCTAATCAGTATAAGAATAAGCTAGATTTTAAGGAATTAAATAGAGAATCTCTAAAGGCTGTTTTAAAGTCTTTGGTCTACACTTAGGAAGTGCTCAATATTTTTTAAGGTAGAAAGATGAATGCCCTCGAACATGTTAATAGTCTTTTAAGTCAAATTTATTACGTATAATTTACATGGAGTATATTCACTCTTTTTAGTGTATAATTCTATGATTCTGAAAAGCAGATACAAAGATGCAACTGTCCCAAAATGGAGATATAGAGGAAGTACAGCCCCTCCCCCAATTTTTTCACACTCCTTTGGAACCAACCCTTTCCCTGACACCTTTATAGTTTTGCCTTTTCTACTTTGCAATACAATAAAATTATGTAGTGTACAGACCTTGTGTGATGACTATTTCATTTAGCATAATTTACTTGAGATTCATCATGTTGAAGGTTACAGTAGTTAATTCCTTTTTCTGCTAAGTAGTGTTTCATTATGTGGATGTACCACAGTTCATTTAGTAATTCAGTTAAAGGATATTTAGCTTGTTTCCAGTTTGGAGCAAGTATAAATTAAGCTGCTATAAACATTTCATTAAGGTTTTAGAGTAAACAAAAGTTTTGATTTATCTTTACGTAGTACCAAGGAGTGGAATTTCTGGATCACCTAGTCCCTGTCCATCTACTTTATAAGAAACTGCGGGGCTGTTTACCAAAATGGCCTTCTGCTTTGCTTTCCCACCAGCAATGAATGAGAGTTCTTGTTCTCTCTTTATCTTTATCAGAAGGATGTATTTTTTTTTCTTAGTATTGTATTTTGAATTTTTGCCATTCTAATAACTGTGTAGCTATATAGCCGATGTCCTTTTTTAAAACTTCACTACTATACATTTAGGGGTCTTGTGGGTCTGGATAGGAGGATGTACAGTGCGTGCAATGGGGTGATTTTCATCTATACATTTTTTTTAAACTAACAGAGTTGTTCTTATAAAATCTGTGTTAAAAGGTAAAGTAAATTTAGTATTATAATTCCCTAATTTCTGCTTGAAGACTTAGATTTATAGTAATCTAAACTTAAACAATTTATTCCTTGAATCCTGCAATCCTTGAATTCTAGCCCTTCTACATTCAGTGAGAGTCCTATGGAAGGCTTTCTTAGAAAAGTAACTCATGAAATTCGCTATTGTAAATATTGGTGAAATACTGAGTTCACCCCCGAGACTTGATGAAGACTTTGTCCCCTAAATACTGCCTCAGTCATACTATCAAAAAAGTAAACAGAGTAATTAGGTTTTGCTAAAAGTACAGCAAATGGAAACAGTGGTACCATTATCCCTGATATGGATTTTCCAATATTTCTTTGTATGTCTAACATATTCCATCTCAAGCAACTGGATTTCCTCTAGCCTTTTACATGATTTAAAATTCAGCTGACACATTTTAACATTAGGTAACTTGTGAACTTTATAGTACAGTCT